GCCTCCCGGGACACCCCGCCCGCCGAGGGCCTGGCCGGCGTGAGTCAGGGCTAACGCTCCACCGGGGCGGTGGAGGTGCAGCCGGGAAGCTGGAGGACTGGTTGTCGTGTTTACCATTTGTCGTTGCCGCTGCTCCTCTGCAGGCTTTGGACAAATGAATTCACCTCTCTGGGCTTCGGTTTCTCAGTCTAGTGGATCCGGTGTGTGCACTAGACTCAGCGATGGGCTCTCCAGCTAAGTCCTGTGTGCCTATTACATTTGGAGGCCTCAGCACCATTTTCCTAGCCTCAGATTATACCTTCCCAAAAGTGCAAGAGGCGGTGGAGTTTCAGGCTAACTTTTATTCGGTTTCAAACTGTCATTGGAAGCACCTTCTAAATGCCAGGCCCTACCTAGCTGATAGAATGATCCTGTCAAAGCATGTGTCACATGGCCCCTCTCCTCTGCTAGAAACCTTCCTGTGGCTCTCCTCCTCACTCAGAATAAAAACCACAGTTCTTGAAATGACCTTTGTGACTTGGGCCTTTTGTTCATTCCCTTTTCTAATTTCTTACCTCTTTTCTCCTTCCTCTTCGTGCTCCAGCCCCACCGGCCTTCTTGAAGTTCTCCCCCGCTTCTTCCTCCACAAGAGCAGCTACATTTGCAAGAATGTTCTTCCTCCAAGTCTTTGTTTCTTTCCTAATACCTTCTGTAACCATTCTACTTGAAATTGCACATATACACCCCCCCCAAAAAATTCCTTACCTGCTTCCTTCCCTGTTTGTTTTTCTTATCAGATACTGAGTATCTCTTTTAAGATAATAAATATCTTGTTTAGAACATATGTTTCAACAGTGCAGGGTTTTTGTTTCATAATTCACTGCTGTACTCCTGGAATCTGGAACACTGTCCAGCACACAGGAGCACTCATAAATGTTGAGTGGATAAGCGAATGCCTCCTTACCCAAAAGAATAATTCATCCTTATTGAAACAGACAGACAGGCCCTGGCTGGGTAGCTCAGTTGGTGATAGCGTCGTCCCGATACTCCAAGGTTGTGGGTTCGATCCCCAGTCAGGGCACATACAACAAGCAACAAATGAATACATAAATAAGTGGACCAACAAATTGATGTTTCTTTTTTTCCTTCTTTCTCTCTAAAACAAAAATATATATTTTCAATGACAGACCAGGGCTGTAAGGATTAAGACAAGGAGGGGGGTGGGAAGCTGGCTGTTTGGGCCCAGAGGAAGCCTGGGGGAGTGGGAAGGTGGGGAGCTCACAGCTGTATCTTGAGGATGAGTGAGGATGAGTAGATTGGGGGAGGAAGCCATCTGGATGGAAGGAGTTTCTGTGGGCATCTCCTAGTTCTTTTTAAAATGTTCGTTACTGATCTTTAGAGAGAGAGGAAGGGAGAGAGAGAAAAACATCAGTGAGAGAGAAACATCGATGGTCTACCTCCTGCACGCCCCCTACTGGGGCAGGAGCCTGCAGCCTGGGTATGTGCCCTGACTGGGAATCAAACCAGTGGACTTCTTGGTCGCTGGGACAACACTCAACCAACAGCCACACCGGCCAGGGTAGCATCTCCTAGTTCTGCTCCCGGATCAGTTTTCCTTGGCCTCCCCTGATTCCCTGCCATTTCCTCTTTGGAGAAATGGGGTGGTCCTTTCTGAGTCTGCCAAGCTTCCAGGGTGGAAGCTCCTTTTTCCAGCAGTTCTACCCCTGGTCTATTGTGATGGTGTCTGTTGTGATGTGGTATCCTAGGAACCCCTGGGGTCTGACCTCCATGGGCTGCCTAGTCTCCTGGCCAAGGCTGAAACCAGATGTGCAGTGGGCTGACCCCTGTGCCCCACCCGCAGAGTCATGCCAGTGTGGGTGGTGGGGCATTCTCTGGGATGGATGACCTGGATCCTGTAGCCATCTGTGTCCTGTTTGAGGAATGGGATCTTCAAACAGAAAGTAACCAAGATGATCAGGCAGGTGTGTGCCTGGGGCAGACTCTGCAGCCATGGGTCTGGGACTTAATTGCTTCTCACTGGGGGCCCAGGAACTGGGCAACTCACGTGGCTTTGCCAGGTGTCCCAGCTGGGGCAGCTGAGCAGAGGAGGACTTTAATGAGATGATAATTCTTCAGAGGTGAAACATGATCATTCTTGCTACCTCCTCCACCTTTCTAGAATTGTTCCTTTCCTAATGCTGTTTTCATTTCTCCCTGTGGTTTAGCTCTTGGGAAGGTGGGCTCAGGCCCCCGATTGATGTCCTACCCTGCTCTCCCCAATCAGGGGACCCAGGAGCCTCCTATTTTCTTTTTTATATGTAGCATTTTAATTTTTATTTATTTATATATTTTAAAATTATTACTTTTAATATGTTTTCATTGATTTTAGAGAGAGAGGAAGGGAAAGAGAGAAAGAAACATCGATTGGCTGCCTCCTGCACACCCCCTACTGGGGATCGAGCCTGAAACCCTGGGCAGGTGCCCTGACCAGGAATGGAAGCTTCGACCTCTTGGTGCGTGGGAGGATGCTCATCTGAGCCACACTGGCTGGGCATTTTTTAACAAAAGAATTTTTTTTTTCTTTTTTAAATATATTTTTATTTCAGAGAGAGAAAAAGAGAGGGAGAGAAACATCAATGATGAGAGAGTCATTGATCGGCTGCCTCCTGCACGCCCCCCACTGGGGATCCAGCCCACAACCCGGGAATCGAACCTCGATCTCCTGGATCCTAGGTTGATACTCAGCCGCTGAGCCACGCTCGGCGGGGCTAACAAAAGAATTTTTAAACCAATTTAAAGATTTCATTTGGAAGATTTTAAAACAAGTGATAAAATTCTGTTCTAAGTATTCAGGTACAGTTTTGTACAGTTTTAAAATTATACAGAAATTAGAGTTTTACAGTAACATTGGTTTTAGTAGTAAATTACATTATAATGAGAATAATTACAAGGAGGGGTAGGGGAAGTGGAGAAGGGTATAGAGGGGATAGGAGGTGATGGATGGACACTTGGGGTGGTGAACACACAGTACAGCGTACAGATGATGTTGTAGAATTGTGTGCCTGAAATCTGTATAATTTTAACAATTGTATCCCAATAAATTCAGTAAAAAGGAAAGAAGAAATTAAAAAAACACAAATTAATCACATCAGTGACATCCTACAGCACTTGTGTATACTTTTGACTTCAATTGATTTGCTAAAATAGCTTGCTTATATATGAGTACTGAGTGAGTTTCATGTGTAGAAGCAGCTCTGTAATGTTATCTGGAAATGAGCCTCTTCTCTCTTAATGACACTTTGGTCACCTCAGTTTGCAGATTTCCAGGGGAGCCCACCATCGTGTCTAGCATGGCCTCTGAAGACATTGCCAAATTGGCAGAGACGCTAGCCAAAACCCAGGTGGCCGGGGGACAGCTGAGTTTCAAGGGCAAGAGCCTCAAACTCAACACTGCAGAAGACGGTGAGTCCTGCGTGGGCTGACCCAGGGGAGGAGGGGAGTGGGAATGAGGGCTCGCTCTTGGTTGTCGTCAGGTTCATTAACCTGCATTATCACATTTTGTCCCTATAGCTCTGGGCGATATCCTTGGGCCCATCTAACAGAGGCTCAAAGATGATTTGCCCTTGAGCACACACAGGCTTTCCTGCTGGTCTTCATGTTTGCGGTGGGCACTCTTGCCATGACAGCTCAGGCTGGCTGGTGTGAGGGGCCCTTTTATCTCGTGGAGGGGACAGAGACAGTGAGAAACCATAGTTAGTAGCAATCCCAAGATATAGTTGCTAACTTCTTCTTTGAGGTCCACCCCGCCTTCACCCCCATGATCCCAAGCTGGTGTGGGAATACCTGTCACCTTCCCCAGAGCTGAGGCCCTCCCTTCTGGCACTGCATTAAAACAACAATCCAGTCCCCCTCGGGAGGTCTGGTCGATGCAGCTGAATCGCCCTGAGAGAGGGTGGTCATACCTGTCTGTGTGCAGGCCCCAGGAGTGGAGAGAACTAGGGGTCAGAGTGCAGATCCTATCTTTCCATCCCTGGCCAAGGCATGGCTGGCACTGACCATCCCTGAATCCCCTGACGCCTGGAAGTGAAGGCACCTGTGTTGGTAGTTATAAGGCCTGAGGTTTTGGCCCAACTGGGCAAACTGGTCTGGACTTGCCTGGTTGTCATGGTGTGTAGGCAGGCTTACCCCCTCCACCAGGTCACAGGTTCGCTGGGAGCCTGGTGACGCACGTTCCTTACATCTCTGTAGGGTCTTAAACTTGACCGAGTTCCTCCCTGTGCTTTTATTACTTCTGATTCTTGCAACATCCCTGAGGTACAAATGTTGCTATGTTATAAATAAGGAAAAAGGACTTTGGAAACGTAAACAACTTGCCCAAGGTCATACAGCTGGTAAATAGCAGAGCTGGGATTTTAGTAGAGGTTGGGCTGCCTCCCTGTTTCTCTGCTCAGTAGACATTCAGCTCAGTGCAGTAAACACGAATTTGCTGTTAAACGCTATTCATCGAACACTGTCAGGCAGAGTCTTCAGTGCCACACAAATAGTATCTCAGTTTCTCCTCACGAAAGCCCTGGTGGTAGGTTTCATCTTCATTAAGGCTCTGGGAGGTAATACGATTTGCCTAAGGGGACAGCTGTTAGTCGTGCAGCTGGGATTAGAACTCAGGTTTGTCTGGCCCTAAAATGTGTGCAGATTTTACTTCACCAGCACAGGCTGGACTTGCTGCCTCCCATTTAGCAAAATGGTCACTAAGGATGGCCAGCTTCCAGCCCCAGCCTCGGAGGAGCTCATAGCCTGGAATGAGGCACCCAAATTCCTAACAGGAGACAGAGGTGAAATGCACTCTGAGACCTGAGTAGAAGGCTCTCTGGGAAGGAAGGTGAGAGAAAGGGATCACTGTGAGCTTAGAAGGGTCCAGGAAGTTTCTGTGGATGAGGTGGCGTTTGAACTGTTGTGGAAGGAAGATTTAAGGAAGATTTAAGGAGAGAGATTGGAGGCAGGGAGAACCACCGGAGTTAAGCACTGGCGCTGAGACACAGGGTGGGCTTAGCAGAAAAGTCAGAACCCCTCAGGAAGCCCGGGTCCTTGAATGCTGAGCCAAGGATCCTGGTGGCCTCACCATGGGCCCAGAAAGGGACTCTGCCTTGGCTA